GAGTTAATAACAAGATGACGAGAGAGAATCTTTAATGTTAAAAATATAATTGACTCATAATTCAGTTTGAGATATTTAGTAAATTTTTAAATAAAATTAAAAGGTAGAAATAATTCTTAATTCTAATAAAAATAGAGTCATGAAAAGGTATCTTTATTTTCTTATTACGCATAAATATCTTTTTCTGAAGTGTGATTATCTTTTAAATGTAAACAATCTCTCCGCATAAATTTGAGCATTAGTTTTTCCGTGAGAAACTAGTTACTTTTACTAGTCTCAACCTTGTAGGTATCTTCATGATTTACTTCCTTAAAAAATATTAAAAAATTAAAAAAAAACAATGAATTGGGATGGATGGTCATAAAAAAATACTTCCTCTGTTCTATTTTATTGATCATTTTTTAAAAGAATGAAGTGGTCTATTCTATAAATTATTTAATTGATTGTAATATTTTATTTAAAATGAAATGTTTAAATTATTTTTAAAAAATAAGAGAGATAGAAACAAAAAAATAATATTATATAAATTATTTATTTTTTTAAAATTATATATATAATTTTATTTTTTATATTTTTATTATATTGATATCGATAAAATTAATAAAAATAATTTATAAATAAAATTAAAGCAAATACATATTTGATTGATATGCCGACTTCTCCGGCCGATGGGTCCGCATCAAAGAAGTTGTTGAAATTATTAAGAAAAAAAAAAGGGGGTAGAGCCCTGAACCCCTAACCAACTTGGCCTTCCCGTGTTTAGCTGAGGATCAAACTTGTCGTTGTTAAATCACAGGTCTGATGCTGATGTAACTCTCAACGGCTTGGGTGTGATGTAACGGAACTTCCATTTTCCTCAAGAAGTATTTAATGCTAGCAGCTACCCTGACTTGGATTTCCAAATTTGCAAGAGAAATGGAGAGTCCGTGGGCAGCTCTAAAATAATTAGCAGGCTGAGCCGAACCCCCTTAATGTCACAGCCGATTTTTTGGCTGGAAAAAAGTAAGCATACACCCAAACAAGGTTTGGCTTTTTCTCTTTTTGGTGCGGAAATCGATAAACTGTTACGCAACGTCGTTTAGGACTGGTCGATAATAGCATGCATTATGTAATATCCAATACTAACAGAAAATAGCTACAATTAAATAAAGCAGGACAAGCTATAGCGAGGCATAGATATTTTGGGAGTGACTTTGACACTTTGACAATGTGTGGGCGTTGAAATGGAGTTGTGAGGTATGGGGAGGTATTAATGTGATAAGTGGTGACAGCTTAGGGCCGAAGGAGAAAGAAGGCAATAAAGGGATAGCCAGCTTTTGGCTTCTAATGAGAAAGCTACATAACTGGTAATTATAATTTATAAGAGAGTGGTCCCCTTCTCTTGTTTTTTGCGTGTTCATTCTGTTTATTACCCGCCAAGTCGCAGCCTGCAGCTCCATGTATTACATTGCTTCATTGTCCACTTGGATCCTTGCTGGCTTCACTTCAAGCTCTCAGTTAAACTTAACACTGCTTCAGATGATCAAAATGTTAGAATTTCATGTTAAAACTACGAGATTTTGATGCTAAAGTCAGTATTTTAGACTCTCCCAAGAGCCCCTGACGGTAGATAGGTTGATCTGTATTTTCCTTTGAAGCTCCAGCATCCATGACATGAGAACCAAAGACGCAGCGTCATCAGGATAAAGGCTTTGATTTGGTCTAACAGCGAGAAGCAGAAAACGTACGACTAAATTGATTCCGAGGTCCATGACGTTGGCTTGGGTCCTAATGGCAATGTATGGACTAACGAAATTGATATAACAAAATAAGCAATGGGCCTTGACCTGTGTTCATTGCGAATAGGTCAGCACTAATTCCATCTTCGTTTATTTAATTTTCTCCGTTTGCTTCTGAAAAGCAATTTTTTACCCAAAAATCGAAACATAGTGATCTGCCTTAACAACTTATGGCCCCAATATTCGGGCTGTTTTCCTTCTTTAAACGGAGAGCAACGAAATTAAAAAGAAGTAAAAGGTCCAATCATATGCAGAAGAAGAGCACCATCATTGTGGCCTATGTTAGCATCTCATTGATGCAAGTGCTTTAAAATAAAGGCAAGTGGCGGAGCCACGTGTATTTAAAGGAGGGCATATGCCTCCTCTCCAATGAGAAAAAATACTTAAATGGGGTGTAAGTATTTACATTTTACACTCCCTCTTTTTGATATTTTACATTTTTAACTCATTTCATATTATTTTTTAACTCAAATTTAAAATTAATTTTTTTAACTCAAAAGTTCAATAAATTTTAGCCTACAATTTTAATATACTCAAATAGTAATATTATTTTATAAAAAAATAACATTTATTAGACCTTTAAGAAAATAAGAAAAAAATAATCTGACTCGTGTCGTTTGAAATCTCAAATCAGATTTAAAAAAAAATCAATTGAAAAAGCCTTTTCTTTTATGAAACTTGTGAAAAATGGTTGCGCAATTGAATGATAAAATCATGAATGAATGATTGTCTTATGATTTGTATTAAAAAAAAGTATTTGAAAGCATTGACAATGAGTTGATTATTCAACAATTTCAAAATATGAAACCATGTAGAGAAAATTTATAAAACATGAAATTATTAAATAATTTTTTATTGTTTTTTAAATTATGAATATGTAAATAATTTTGCCCCTCCTGGCCTAAGACCTTGGCTCCGCCACTGATGGCAACCCTTGCGGAGATGTCCAACCCCTCAAGGGGAGTGAGACAAAGAGATCTTATTTGGGATACATCTTTACTCTTTGTATGAAAAGATTGAATTATGTCGTTATGGATGTGGTGGAGGAAAAATTTGAAAACCTATTCAACTTGTTCCCGAAGGTATGAGGATCTCTCACTTATTTTTTGCCAATAAAATGATACTGCTTAAAGAAGCTTTACTTGGCAAGTTGATTCCATACTTTCATGCCTTGATCTCTTCTGTGTAGCCTCTGGAACAAAAATGAACAAGGCTAAAACCAAGGTTTACTTCTCAAAATTAATTCATTCCTCAAGAGCTTATGAACTTAGTTGCAGATTAGGTATGGGTCAAACATGTGATCTTGGTGAATAATTGGGAATAGCCCTTATCCATGAAAGGGCATCTTATGTTTTATTCACCTTGATCCTTGAAAAAACTCAAACGAGGTTGGCTAGTTAGAAGGGTAAATTCTTGAGCATGGCTAGTAGAACATCTTTGATCAAGCTGTGCTATCTGCCTTTCCATTTTATCACATGCAAACTATGATCCTCATGAAATGCCTTCTTAATGAGCTAGAAAGAACAACTTGAAAGTTCCTTAGGGGAGAAGATGAGTTCAATAGGAAAATTTATTTGGTTACATGGGATGAGATTACTCAAGAAAAGAAGGAAGGTAGCTTGGGGATCAAGGCCTTACATAGACAAAATAAAGCTTTTACGAGGAAACTTTGTTGAGATTTGATATATAATGAAAAAGCCCTATGGGTTAAGGTCTTAAGAATAAAGCACAAATGCAACAAAGAAGGGATGCCATGTGGTATGAAGAAACAAAACTCATCTTTCACATAGAGGGGTATCTGTGAAATTTAGGAAAGCTTTAAAGAATGAGTAGGGAAGAAAATTGGGAATGGAAAATCTACTAATTTTTGGTTTTAAAATTGATCCTTGCTTAATGTTCCTCTTATCGAATTGGTTATTAGTCGAGAGGAATTAATAAATACAAATGAGAAAGTCTCCAATTATATGAATCAATGGGGACAGTGGAATATATAAAAACTCAACTCTTGGTTCTAGCCGAACATAGTTTCCTATCTAACCCGTGCCTGTGAGGAGAGAGGATAGGGCAAAATACTAATGAAAACCATCAACTAATGGAATTTTTATTGTTTAACTGCCTACTCATTTTTGTCTGCAAGTACAAATAGGAGAGTTGATAATATATGGAAGATATTGTGGAGGTGGCCTATCCTAGAAAAGAAAAATCTTTCATGTGGCTCTTTGCACATAGAAGGGCTTACACATACAAACTAAGGATGAAGAAAGGCCTGGCAACTAAAGGGATTTGTCCCTTTAATTATAAAGTTATTGAAGACTCGATACACCTTATTCGTGACTGTTCAAACACATTAGATAGGTAGAAAGCTATTGTCAGAAGGAGAGTTGAAACTCATTCACTAACCTTACTAGGATGGATTGTCTCAGATGGAATATAAAGAATGAAGCAGGCAAGAACTTTACTAAAAAGCTAAACTAGGCTATTCTTTTTGGATATATTTGTTAGGATATTTATGTAGATTGATGCAAGAAAGCCCTTGATGATGATCACACCTAATCTTATCCCATAGCTTATTTTAGTTTCTTTAAAGCTTGTTTGGATTTAGATCTACATAAGATGACACCTTTCCTTTCTTATGATAGAAAACGACCAATTAATAATCCTATGAAAAGAAATTATGCTTTTAAGCTAGAAATTGATGAGTTCGTGCTGAGTAATGGAAGTAGAGGGTGTGAAGGTTCCATTTAGGATAAGCAAGGTGCTTGGATTCATTATTTTAGTTGTAAACTTATTAATGTACCACCTGTGATTGTGGAGCTTCTTGTTATAATCTAAGGACTTACCATAAGTTAGAATAGTGGTATGCCTAATGTGGATGTTTATTGTGATTGTGTTAAAGCTATCATACCGATTGTCAAAGGTTATGATGAGTCTTATCTTTTTATAGAGATCATTAATGATGCTCATCTTATACGTCATAGAGAATGGTGTAACACCCTCAAATTTACAAACCGATTTTTCGCAAATTATTAATTCAACAAATTATTTTTTTTTCATTTTTTTATTTTTTTCATTGAACCCTTATCATGGTAGAAAAATTTCTACCATGATACATCCAAGACAATATACCACAGGTCTTAAAATATCTCAAAAAGCAATTAGAACCATGAGGGACAGACATGATCCTCATAGCATGTTATTCAAATTAGGTCATGAATCAAAAGGGACAGACATAATCCTCTTGGACATATAAATGCATTTAATAAAAAGGATTAGAGTTTACATGCTCCATAGACAAGATATGTCCTAAGTTGGCACAAGATACATTGTATAATCCAAAATAAGAGGCAACGTAAAAGATGGTGTCTCATACACCATAATTACACCTTTGGTGCTTTCTCGGCCGGATTCGCTCCTGTAAAAATATTAACCATGGGGAATGAGACTTAAAAGTCCCAGTAACCAAAAATTAATATGTAATGATGCATGCGGATGTAACTAATCATGCGATTGCTAAGTGGGCACACAAAACATTTAACCGAACAATATTTTCAAACAAACCGAACAAGTATTTAATTGCATGACTGCACCTTATATCCTCCTTTCACCATGCTCGGACGCCAAATCACCCGGCCAAAGGTGAGTTGGACCAAGCGACACGCCACTCATTGGGTCCAATGAGGGCTTACCACGTGGTAATAATTAACCGAACAGAAATTCTCATTAACACCATACATTAAAATACCCTAACAAGTCATGCATCATTCAAATATCCAAACAGGAATATATCTGAACAATAATATCTCATCATGATAAACAAAAATAAATTTTTAACCCACTTGGCAATAATTTCAAACAAGTATATACAGTATTTATTTTCAATAATTCATAATTTTTTCAAACAACAAAACAACACATAACCATTCACAAACACACTCATCACAACACATTAATAATGGTTACCTTGTGTCTTGAATAACAAGTTCCCCTTCACAACTCCTCTTTCACCACTATCTTTGTCAATATAATCTACATAATTATTTCACAATACTATATATTAATTTTACATTAAAATAAATAACTCTAATTTAAATAGTTAGAAAGTCTTAGATCTATAATCCATATTAACACTAATTTAAGATTTATGCCTCATTTAACTTCTCAATTTTTTTAAAAAAATTCTCGTACCCTAATAAACTATTTTTTTATCCTCAAATCACTTCTAGTATCACAATTTCATCCTTCTATATTCTAAAAATTCGTCCAAAAATAAATTAAATTTTAAAATTATCCTAAAGCCTCAAATCACCTTTCTATAACCTCAAAAATACCTATTCATACTTAAATAAATATTTAATAATCATAGGTTTATCCCTACATCTCAGATTCCACATAAATTCAACCATATAGATCTAGATTCTAACTCAAAAATTCTTAAACATGAGTTTCAACCTCAAAAAAATATTCTATAATATTTATTATATCCCTAAGAGTTTCAACCTATATTTTTAATCCATCATATCATCAGATTAACTATCCTATAGAAAAATTCTAATCAAAATATTTACTCTATCCTACAAAATAATCATATCACTAGAAAGCTAATATTATTTAGAAAATAACTATAAAATTAATTTTGTAATTAAATAAATTTTTAAATGCTAATCTAAATAGGAAAGTTAGAACATACCTGAAGAAAAAGAAAATAATCCCCCCTTGCGAGAAAACGCCGAGCAACGTGAGAGGAAGAGAGAAAAATAATATAAAAATGAGATTGTGAGTCCCAAAATTATATTAAAAAAAACTATAGGTTTGAATTTAATTATTCAAACCTTTGGGCCAAAAGTTGCAATTTCCTCTAAATTACATCTTAGCCTCTCATGCTTCCTAATGCACACACCCCCTCCTTTTTATACATGAAGGCACATCTTCTCTTCCCTCATCTAACCAATGTGGGACTTAGAAACAACAACCTTCCACCCCCCTTTTTTTTGTTCCTTCTACCTTCTCTTTTTTTTTAACACACACATAAAAAAAATTATTTATGTATTATATCTTAACTAAATATTGCTTATGTGGTTTTAAATTTAAATTTTTAAATTCATAATTAAATACCTAATCATAATATTATTTCTAAATAACCTCAAATAATATAAATTCCTATTATTATCATTTTTTTTCCTCAAAATCTAAATTCCACAATTTCTTTATTATATAAAAATCAGGATGTTACAAATGGAATGTGAATGTTCATCATGTTGATAGAGATTAAAATGTATATGTAAACTATTTAGCCAAACTACCTTAAAGCTTAAATGTTAGCTTATGTATATTTGATTATCCCTCACTTATTCCCCAAGAGGAGGTGGATGATGAAAGTGTTCAAGGTAAACCTTACTCTTTTATTGTAAGTTGATATTATTTTGAATGCATTATTTATAGTCAAAAAGAAGGAGGAGGAGGAGGAGAAGCGAAACGAATACACAACAGAACTTGAGAGCATCATTCTTTCAATGGAGATCATATTCCCCATGAATGTTCTATTTTTGAAACTAAACACATTGGCATTTTTAATAGATTAGGCTGAGTTACTTACATCTATTAGGTAATCTACCCTTAGTGGATCAAGTCCAATATAAGCCTATGAGGATTTATCATAATAAGGAAAAAATGTGAGTCTTTATATGTGACAAAGTTTAGGACCTCATGTGCAATATTCCCATTAAGCTTTTAGAGGGAATAATTATAAAAAATGTTCCTCATATACACTTAAAGAGTGGTGTGAATGCATAGGGGTTAAAGGCTATATGGGATACATTAGTTCATTCTCTTTTTAGTATTAACAAACTTCTCTCTTTCTTTCTATGTATTTGATGTGTAACATAAATCAAGTCAGAGTTTGTGACTTTGTTTTGCACAGAGACAATTCATCTAGTGCACCTTCTCACATATGTTTCCTCTTACTAAACTAACATTGGTATTAGAGTGGTGCTGTTTCATTGGCTGCATTTTTCATGCTTGAAGATTGAGATTATGATTTGCTTAACATCTATAACATTGAAAATCCATCAAATACTATTTTTTTCATATTCTACATATGTCGTTTTTGCCTTTATTTGTTTTTCATCTATGCTCTTGTCATTTGAACATGTTTAGATGCTTTTTAGTTGATATAAATGAGTTATATATGGCCATACATATTCCCCAAATGCTTTTTGTGTGATAAAAGATTTCGAAACTATGAACCAAAAACAAAAACCAAAAGTTAGGTATTTAAATACTGTGTTTTTTGGGTAATGGATGATATAAATGTGTGGAGCTCGAAAAAAGAAAAAAATGACACCAAGAACACAATAAACAATGGTTGAAGAAAGTAGACATGACCCTCTAAAGTTTCAGGTCTAATGGACTTAACTCACTGGAGGAATCAGGTCAAACTGACTTGACTAAAGCTTGAAGACGATAGAAACAACATGTTGTTTTGACATATCCTTAATAAAAAAAATTCACTGTTATAGGTTAATAAGCCCAGATTAAAAAAATGGTTTTAGGCTAGTGAACCCAATAGCCTATTAATAAAAAAAGTTTTTTTTCTCTTATGCCTGTAGAATTTGAGTGTAAAAAAATAGTTTTCCAAAAAAAAAAGTTGATTGGTTTAGATCGGGTTAATAGACCTGAGTTAGAGGGTCCTCGCATCAGGGTTTGACCAAACCCGATCCAGTCAAAAAAATAATATAATATTAAACAAATGAAATTAAAAAAAATTATATTATTAAAAATAACATGTGGTATGTAGGCCCACTAGAAGGCCTAGTTGCCACATGGCGGACCCCACTCGAAAGTTGAAGGCATGTGGAATATAAGGAAGTGATAGGGTGTCATCAATGGAGGCCGATAAGGTCTTACATGTGCCCCTATCGAGAGCGAGGGTTCCTGGATTTTTCAATTTTCATAAACTTTTTATCTAATAATCTTGTTGGGGCACATGAAGGTGCGTGAGACCTCCAATTGAGACGAGATTTATCTTAAAAATCTTTAAATTTAATATATTCATTTTGATATGTTATTCGCCTATATTAAGGAAAATCTAGAATTTAGTTTTTGAGTTTTTCACTTCATTTTATAAGTTTTAACACTTTAAAAATTTATAAAAAATCTTTTATTTTTCTTTTAGAAAATTATGAAACAAGAGGCTTCAAGCAGTATTGAAAACTTAGAGAATTATTCCGTTAGCATTGAATATCTATATGAGCCATATTATGAGCTTTTAAATGAGGATTTTGACCTATAACCTTTTAAAGAGAAAGAGGAGTATAAACCTCAAAGTGAGAATTCTAATGCTAAAAAAGGATCCTATTGAAGATCCTAAAGATGTGTTAAAAGGGCCTAAAGAAGTGAGGATGATGTTGGGTCCCAAATGCAAATTAGAGTGTGTTAAAGATCTTTAAGATGAGGATGAAATAATGGAATAATTCATTATACCCTCATAATAAAAAATCTAGCTCAGAGAGATGCTAAAAGAGTTGAGCATGTAGATCACATTTCCCTAATCATAAAAAAATATTCAAGAGTCATAACTAAAAAGGAACAAGCCTTAGTTGTGGGAAGCATTTTCAAACAACTTAAAAAAAAGCCTTATGAAATGAAGCAAGTTTTACTCGAGAAATCTCCTATAGAAAAGCACCATCAAGGGATTAAGAGTGCCAAGAGAATAAAAAGACATAATTAAGAATTGTCTTTTTAGTTTTAAGTCCTAAAAACATGATGTGTTTTTTGAATTTCTAGATTTTATATATTTTATGTTATGTTACATGAAGACTTTTTACCTCATAAATACAAAACATGCTAATTTTCATAATGATTGGCTATTATTGTTTTAAATGTTTCGTTTGAGTAGGAGTTCTTAAATGATGAGTCTTTTAAGAGCCAATATTGTGATTATGAAATATTTGTTAAATTCTTGATAGATGATAGTGATATTATTAAAATTAATGTGATGGGAGACACAAACATAGCCTGTTAATCATTGACCTAATAGTATTATTATTATTATTATTATTATTATTATTATTATTATTATTATTATTATTATTATTATTATTCTAGTAAAGAGTAATACAAATACAAAATATTGTATGTTTCTTGTAATGATTTGTTCTTAGTTTAATATATAATACTATTAATATGGGATAATTTCATGTCAAAACTATGAATGGTAACAAAAAATGTTCGCTAAACTTAACAAATGTGATAAGTAAAACAGGAATAACTAAGACACATGGCATCACAAGATGTCATACATTTTGGAAGAGTAGGATGTTGTCAAACTACTGATTATGATCATGGTTGAGTTTGAGGTTGGTAACTTGGCTCAATATAAAAGAGACCAAAAGGCATACACGATGTGGTAAAGAAAAGCACTCCATAGTCTAGGCTATGTAGGCTGGCTTAAAAGAGAAGTTTGGAGATACTTTAACTACCAAACTCAAAATGTTGATTATTAAGTTTGACACGTGTAAGTGGAAGCTAAATACCCCCACGTGATAGCGCCTTAAGGACATGGCCAACATGACTCAAGAGCTTAAGGAAGTCACACACAATTTGTTTGATAAGCAGTAGGTACAGGTTGTAATCAAATCATTCCCGACTAGTTGAGAGCACATAAAAGTTAACCTAATCTAAAATGAAAAGTGAGGGTTAGTTTTATCTTTTCACACTAAAATTTAATTACATTTTAGTCTTTTGGTCCTGCAAAGTGAATTCATAATTATTTGATCCTTTTCTATAAATAAAATGCTCCTGAGGTCCTTCATCATAATTTTTCTTTAAAATAAATATGCTATTCATTTCATGATTATCATAAATAAGCATTATAAACTTATTTTTAAAAGCATTTAAGAAATAATAGTAAATAATTTATTTATTATGGACGATAATGACATCTTCAAATCAAATAAATAATTAAATGAATAGATGGAATTTAGTATTTAGAGATGTATTGAAGGAAAGTATGGAAAAATCCAAATCTTACATTACAAATGAACATAAAGGCTAATAGAAAAATAAATATAGATTAATTTTTATATATAAATAGGAAAATACATAAAATAGACTGCAATAAATAGCAACGAAACTCCCCTCAAAAGTCTCCAATGACCAATGTACATCTGCGCATACAAGACGACTCAACTATACGAGAGACCTCCACGCTTTTCTACTTACACGTCACGAGGTGGATGGTTATTATGACGTCATGAACTATTAAAGTCGAAACGCGACGAAACGCTGCCTGAATCTCCTTTCCCATGCAATATGTCAGACAAGTAATTCTCCAAATCATCGGGCGAAAATACTTGAACCGATTCGTTGTCCTCCGTCAACTCGACCCGACCTGTATAATCATACAATTCCTTTTGCCGTGGCATCAGCTTGGACGCTATCGAACCGATGATCTCGTCTCGTAGCTTTGGATCCGATACCATCCACGGCGTCTGTTTCCTGTACGCCACATGAAACGCGATGTTGAAGCTCCTAAACCAGATACTCGCTTTCTCCGGTGGTACCTCTACAGCAGGATTTCCCGACAGGGACGTCAACACCTTGCTCCAACCATGCGCTCGTAATTTGACGCGTACGCTTTGACCCTTGATTCGTGACCCTTCAACCACTCATTCCCGAGGAGAATTCTAAGACTGGATGTGCGAACCTTCCCGACGATGTATTGGAGGTTGTTAGAGAGGAATAGGTACGAGAGTGCAACGTCCCTGTAATGTTCTGCTTTAACGTTGAGTTTGCTCAGGAGAAGAACTATCACCCAAGCTATTCGTACCGTCACTCCCGATGACTCTCTTTCTGAAA